GAATGTAAAAGTTATATTTTAAAAAATCGAGATTTTCGGACAAAAAAATATTTCTCCTCTACCAAACGACCAATGTTATGCGGTCAATATCAAACAAAGAGAAACAGGTACACCCCCTCACGAAAGTCGTAACAAAGAAAGGCTGCACAGCTAGCAACGAATGCAATGTCAAAATCGTCACCGAATGGTTAATGAATCAAAACCCACGACTCCGAGAGACAGCATCTTTGATTGAGACATAAACAAAAGAACAACATTTAAAAAAAAATGTAGTAATTTATTAGAAAAGAAGGGGCACTCTAATAAGTTCAATTCAGCATCTATATATAAGTGGAACTCTACGAATTATAACGATACAAAGCCTTGTGTTTGTGTTGTGTGTGTGTCTCTATTGGGGATAGCTGGTTAAGCAGCCGTTGAGGCTAAACTTGATTTTGAAGGAAGAAGAGAAAAAAGGAAGCTAGGCAAGGCAAAGATGGGTGTGGTGGTGATGATCACAAGAAGGGATTTGATCAACGGTAGGCATTTGTCCAGCACGAATATTTCTAGCCGCTTGATCCCGAAAAGGGGCCAAGTGAAGTTGGGGATTGTGGTGGGTCTGTTTCACAGTGTCTCCTCCGTCTTCTCCTCCTTCACCACCCGATGTATTCACTTATCTTGATTCTTTCCACAACCATGTTTTGACCCTTATGGAGTTGCTAGATTAATGGTATTTTGTGAACTAAAAAGTTGTACAAAGATCCTAATTTGCTTATTAATGTTACATACATAAATTGTAGTTTATTTCCTAATACCATCTAATTGATTGATTGATAGTTCTACCTTATAGGTATTTTGTGGTCGAGTAAATTTATTCTAACACAAACCCAACAAGCCGTGGTCCATGGTCGGAATTTCTGTTTATCTTTATTGCAATGGAAACAAGAAATAAAATAATCGTAATTTTTGTCTGAGCATATTTTTATGCTTCTCTAAACAACATGCGTTTCACAATTCACGAGCAACGTCATGTTTTAATTCATTATATATTTATCGTTGATTAGACCTATAGTGTAACCGACAAACAATCCACGAATTCAATGTAGCGGTTAATACAACGAAAGTCAATAATTCATTTTTAATGTTCAATACTGACATTATTTTTAGGGTGCATATCTTCTTATGTTGTAGGATAGCAGGAGAGAAAAAAAATAGAGATAAGTTAAATGTGGGTCCCACATTTTAAATTAAAAAAGAAAAGAAAAATCAATTGGCACAGAAAACGAATTTGTGTAGGAAAAAGTTCTTATCTCATGTAGAAGGAGATAATGATTTCCCTTATTTTTATTAAATAATTCGGATTCATCCTTTATTACTGAAATCGGTATAAAATATAATTCAATATTAAAAAAGTATTTAAAAAATGTTAAGAAAATATGTAACTAATATTATTTTTCTACGCGTTCACAACCTTTTCAAAAAACATAAAAAAGGAATAAAAACCCTATTTGATACTCGATAATAACCTTGTCTTAAATTTGGAAGAGAACTAAATTTCTCCTTCTTGTTGTACATTCGATGATTATATAAAAGTCTTGAGTTATAGTAAAAAAAAAAGAGAGTCTAGAGTTATACAGTTAAAGTGGGATCAAATTTCAGGGATTTGACTTTTTATAAAGGCAGCTTGCATACTTATGAAGTGAAGGGAAAATAAATAAGAGTTACACAAAAAAATTATTAGCTATTAAGATCATAAAAAAAGAGTTTAAAAAATTGGGCAAATTTATCCATTTTTCCATGGGAACAGTAACAGCGGGTTAGTGATAAAATATTAAAAGCATAAAAGGAATTTTTGAAACTTTTTCCTTGCAATAATTTAAAAAAAATAATGTGAAAAATAATATGAAACTAAACAAACTAATGAGGTATATGACCATTACAAATAAAGATTGTTCCGTTCAAATATCATCTACATGTATCTTTTTATGTTGTCATTTATATGTATCTTTTACATTTGTCGATTATTGTATTATTATTATTTTTTGTGAACTTCGATCATTGTATTTAAATACATCATTGTTATGTGTCTATATTTATATATATATATATATATGATTGCTAAAGAAAAAAATAATATTATCCCAATAGTTTAATATTTTGTATTTCATTTTGATTCAATCTATTTATTTTTTAATAAATTAAAAGTTAATATTTGAAAAAAATAGAAGACTAAAATAATATATAATAGAGCACTAATAACATATTTATTTATATTTTTTTTAAAAAAATTATGCTATCTAATCTTAATTTAAGTAAATTACAAGAGTGCCCAACAACTTAATGATGAGCATATTAATTTTGATTTGTTTTCACAACGAGAAAAAAAAATACAATTATAAGATTATTAACATTCATTTTCTTTATATATTTTATTAACACTTATATTATATTTCTTCATTTGTTTTCTTAAAATAAACCTCTAATTACTTTAAAACACGAAATCCCAAAATCAGCATGTCTTCACGTGGGCAAAAAAATTAATTTAATGCTTTTTAATAAAATAATTATGCGTTTATTACAGTTTTGAAAATAATTACGGATCTATTACACAATGTGACATCCTTTTGGGCGTCACATGAGGCGTCTCATCCTAAGGGGAGACGCCTCAATGGGGCGTCACTCATCAGGTGTTGACACGTGTCATATTTTTTTCTAAAAAAAAAAATTACTTTAATCATAAAACTTCTGAAGGCCATAACCTTTGACTCGGATATCCAAATCAGGTAATTCTTTTTTTGATTCCACATAAATTTTCGAGATCTACGCAATGACATCTCATTTGACATATTTTATTTCTCACAAACACAATTTTAATTTGCAAGAATGGTATTATAAGTGAAATTAAATCCAGAAGCCTCTGAATTTTGATTTTGTGATTTAATATAAAAAAAAAAAATTTGATTTGCGATTTAAATATTTTTTATAATAACTTTTTTTATTATAACAAAAATTTGGTTTGTGATTTAAATTAAAAATAAAAATAAAAATAATTATTAATAAGGAAAACAAAATAAAGATTTGATTTGTGATTTAAACTAAAAAATCTGTAGAAATAAAGAAAAAAATTAAATAAATATTCTAAATCTCTAAGGAAGAAAGATATTATTTTTGAAATTAAAGATTAATGCTATAAGCTTCTAGCTTATTATTCGTGGTCTGAAATTAATGATGACTTATGAATATTTTTCAAAAATAAAATTACCTAAATTAGGCGTGATTGTCTATTGATTGAAACCCAATTTAGAAGTGATTGGTGAAGTGTCAGGTGTTAACACGTATCACATTTTTAAACTCAGAAGCCTCCGAGTTCTGCGTTTGTGATTTAATATAAAAAATAAATCAAGATTTGATGTGTGATTTAAATTAAAAAAATAATTTTTTTTATTTTTATTATAAAAAAAATTGGTTTGTGATTTAAATTAAAAGTAATAATTATTATTAATAAGGAAAACAAAATAAAGATTTGATTTGTGATTTAAACTAAAAAATTAATATGAAAAATCTGTATTAATAAAGGAAATAATTAAATAAATATTCTAAATTTCTAAGGAAGAAGGATTACCTGATTTAAATTTAAATGATGTTTGTGAGAAATAAAATATATCAAATGAGATATCATTGCGTAGATCTCGAAAAGTTATGTGGATTAAAAAAAAGAATTACCTTATTTGGATACCCGAGTCAAAAATTATGGCATTCAGAAGTTTTATGATTAAAAATTAACTTTTTTTTTGAAAAAAAAAAATATAACACGTGTCAACACCTGATGATGAGTGACACCTAAATGAGGCGTCTCTCCTTTAGGTGTGACGCCTTAAAGAGACGTTACATTGTGTAATAAATATGTAATTATTTCCAAAACTGTAATAAATGCATAATTAATTTATTAAAAAACATTAAATTAATTTTTTTTTGCCGTCTACACATAGACAAGACAACTGTACAAATAAGGTGCAAAATAATACAAACTTTTCTTACCCTATAGCTCTGATTATAAATACAACCGTTTCTTAACTCAACTTTTGATATTGATAATAAAATTAGAGGGAAGATACTCTAATAACTAATTTATGTTACTATTAAATTACTACTAATTAATCTCATCATTAGATCGATTATGTCGATCTAACGGTTATATTTATTTTTATCTTTGTATAGTCATGATTTTTCATATTTAATACTTTATTTTTATTTTCAACTTTGTATGATTATAATTTTTCATATTTAATGCTTTCAATTTAAATATAGGGAATCATAACCATAAAAAGATGGAAATAAATATAACCGTTGGATCAACATAATCGATTGAGATTAATTAGTAATAATATGATAGTAACACAACTTGATTGTTATAATGTCTTTATCCATAAAATTATTGTTTCGATTCTTGAAAATTCCCCATTTTTTTAGTTATTAGAATCTCATCAAATTGCCAATTTAATAAACAGCTGTGGTGTAAATTGGTATTTGAGCGAATTGTATGAACTGTAAGGTGCAGGATACGCCAAATAACCTAAAGTTACTTTTTATAAACAGAGAGAAGAAGATGAAGACACCGAGGATACATCTTCATTGTTCAAAACGATTACTTCTGGTTAAAAAAGAAAAAGAAAAAGAAGAAGAAGAAAACCACTTTCATTTATTTGGCTTCTTGTCTTACCCTTTAATTTCCAGTCACCTCCTATCCTTCCTTCATATAATTAGTGAGGTTATCTATAAGTTCTTTACAATGAATTCGAAAAATCATCTTTTATTGTGAACACAAAATATGAAGAATAATTAATTATCGTAAATTTTTTCAATTGCAATTGCTTTTTTTTTTATTTTTTATTTTTATTTTTTATATTATCATATAAATTATACCGTGATTACAAAGACCAAAAGAATGCATAGGCTAAACAACTCAGCCAAAATAATGAGACAAAAAAGTTGACAGGTTTTGCTGCAACTAAAATGAAATTTCAACCTATTCTGGTGTTGTCTCTGCCGAAGACTAAAGTGGTTGCCCAGTTCACAGCCACGTAAAACCTGTTTCTCCAGCTTATTACACTTGTCAGATATGCAGAACGCCATACCAGCCAGCTAACAAAACCAGCAAGTGACAACCCCTTTCCATCCTACAAAAATATATACATATGTAACACAAAAATCAGATGCTATTTTATGAGTTTACTAAGGTTCTTCTTTGTTTTAATTTTTTTTTTTAGCAGTATGTTTCCCTTTCTAAATTATATATAATTTTGTCTCTGTTCAGATTATATATATATATAAAGAGAGCGAACCAGAGCAATAGTAAAGTTGTTCTTTCATGACTGAAAAGTCATGGATTCGAATTCAGTAAACAGTATCTTTGCAATTATGTAAGAGTAAGGCTGCGTATAAGGATTACCTCCACTTCACACTCTCTAGTCGGGTTTAACGGGGAGTGTTTTTTTTTCAGATTATATATATATATAATATCAATTTATTCTTGATCAAAATTTATTCCTATTTAATCAAAGTGATAAATTTTATTTTAAAGTAGAGCAAAATAATAGATGAGTCTATAACTCCATGCTGGAGGTTAGATATTAAAGATAGAATTACAAAATTTCCTATTATATACCTTTGATTGTCTTAGATCAACCAGTGCTTTATAGCCACCTACTGATGCCATGCTCCCAAGATGCTTGTACACAAAAGGCTCTCCAAGTGGTATGCCTTTTGCAGAGAAAGCCTTGCCTGCATTCTCTTTCCCTATTTTGTTGAACAACTCCACAAGAAACTTACCCTCCCTTTCAGCAACCTGTAAGTGACCAATTTATAGGTAAGTATCCCACTCTTCAGATCATGGGACATGGACAAGCTATTGATGCTTGTTTTTCCAGCAAAGAATGGAATAGAAGCTTTCCTACTTTTATAGTAATATATTATGAATAGAATTCCTATAGTTGCAGGTTAGGTAACTATTATTTTGATGAGCACAATGTCATTACTCATTCATTAGCCTTTCCAGTTGCAGGGAATGACTAAGCCTATAATATGAACAATGACAGATCACATGAATAGTTGAAGTGGAAAGTGTGTATCATTTTAAAGGACATAAAGTTGTGTCATTTTAAGTGAGAAAAAGAGATAAATTATGAGAGAGAATGAGTGGAAAAAAGTTTTAAAGGCGTGAGTTTCATCTCTTTGTGAAAGTGAAAGATATAAGGTGTGTCATTTAAAATGACACACCTTTTTCCCATAGTTGAATATTACAAATAAATGGTGCGTAGCAATACATATATTTTAGTATAGCCTGAGCAACTACCAAAAGGACCATTAGGAAGAGCCTGGATAGTATCCTATTATTAAACTTGTTCCACCAAGCTCAGGAAAAAACATATAGAGATTACAAGCATTTACCCTCATTTGGGAATTTTCTTATTGGATTCAAGGACAACATAGATCAATATAGGCTTAACTTTAATTAGTTCTTTTCTTGATCACTTTATCCATTTCAGTTGGCAAAAGAAGTCAAAGACAAAGGCTAACCTGAGCTAGAGCTGGAAGCACTGGCTTTCCAGTTTGTTCAAGAAAACCAGCACAATCCCCAAGGGCAAAGACATCTTCCACAGAGGGAACACGAAGCCATTCATCAACACCAATTCTGTATCATTCAACAACATTAATTTAATATATATCATAGATAGAAAATGGGCTTTTTGACCCTTATAACCCTTTATTATTAATTAATTACCGATTTGACCTTGATTATAAACTATTTCAAAAATTTAACCCCCTCAGAAAACATAACACCAATCTGCCCCTGTTTGACCGTTGACCACCAAGCCTACCCGGGTACACCCCTCTGTACCCGGGTATTTTTTGAAATTTTTTGTCTACCCGGGTAGGGAGGCGTGTACCCGGGTATTGTTCTTCGCACCTGAGAAATTGCTTGAATTATTTACCCGGGTAGAGAGGGGTGTACCCGGGTAAATCTTCAACCACCCGGTATGATTACTCTTTGGATCTCTCATGCACTCTTCTTCTCCAAGCTTTGAATATGGAGGCACCGACTATCACGTGCTCTGCCTCTGCAACTTTTTTGGGTCTGTAAAGCACACAAATATTTTTCAATGATTATTTCAGAAAGAGAATTCTCAGTTAACAGTATAAATCCACAACCACAAACCTTGTCTCATGCATGTCTTCCCTGAACGTGATAATTCGTCATTTACCAGTAAAATGAAAAGCTGCATGCTCACACTAAATTTCTGTACCATGAACCCTGTCTTTATTTTCTTTCCGTCTCACTCTCCCCAATAGACCCGGTACCACATTTATATATAGGAGCGCGATTTTGACGTACATAAAAGTAGACCCCATCATAATCGATACGAACAGAGACCGCTTTGATGAGCAGTAAAGTGTTGATGTATGGAAATTCCAAATCCATTCTCAAAGCTAAAAGCTCTTCAAATTGGTTAGGCATGCTTAACTTGATAATACTGATCTATCTCATTAGCTGTAAAAAAGAGAGAAAAAATACCAAATGGGTGGTCGAAGATTTACCCGGGTACACCCCTCTCTACCCGGGTAAATAATTCAAGCAATTTTTCAGGTACGAAGAACAATACCCGGGTACACGCCTCCCTACCCGGGTAGACAAAAATTTTCAAAAAATACCCGGGTACAGAGGGGTGTACCCGGGTAGGCTTGGTGGTCAACGGTCAAACAGGGGCAGATTGGTGTTATGTTTTCTGAGGGGGTTAAATTTTTGAAATAGTTTATAATCAAGGTCAAATCGATAATTAATTAATAATAAAGGGTTATAAGGGTAAAAAAGCCTAGAAAATGAGCAAAAGAGTGAGGTGTTTTTATTTTTTCGCTGCACGTACCTTCCACCAAGAGACTTGGGAAGATTTAGTGATTTCACAAACTCAGAGGGACCGACCCCTGTGGACCAGACCAAGAGGCCATAAGGTACATCAGTTCCATCACTCAGAACTATCTTTTTGGGATGCACCTCCTTCACAACACCCCGCATAAGCTGAACCCCAGACTGATACAAAATTGTATGTGTCAGACTTAAACTTGAAAGCTGAAACTATGAGGCATGTAGCAAATCTTGACAGACTAAAATGTATGATCAAAACTCAGATGAATATACCTTTGTTAAGTGCTTTATTGCATATTGCCGGAGGCTAACATCAAAGGATGACAGTATCTCATTTGCCTAATCATGAAAAGTTAACATAAAGGTTAAGTACACCAAATTCAATCTCTACTCACAAATAAGACTTTGAAATATAGAACTAAATTCAAACAGGTACCTCAATGAGTGTGACGTGAATGTAATCTTTAATGTGAGTATAGCGCTCATGAACATCTTTCATGATGAAATCACTCAATTCACCACTAAATTCCACTCCTGTAGGTCCACCTCCAATAACTACACAGTGTAAAAGGCGTTTCTTTTCTTCTTCTGATATGCCTGTTACATGGAAACGTTTTAAGCCTTAGGCTTCAGCAAAAAAATGACTACTGCATAATAGAAACTAAGCAAACAAAATAAAAAAATAAACCATGTAGAACAAATTTAAATGGCTCCTGGAGAAGAAAAATACTAAATGAGAAAGAAATCTCATGCTCTTTTTCAGATGAAGGGATAAATGTGAATTAAAGCCGAAAAAAGGACAACTCAGAATATGTGAATGACATAGAGAATTGTTGCATTGCCCAAGTTTATTTTCTGTCAAAATGACTAAACTAAGTGAGAAGACTTAAACTATGATGTTACATGAAATACCCACCTGGATTTTCAGAAAGCATCAGGTTCAGAAGAAGTCTCTTCCTTATTTCTTGAGCATGGTTCACTTCACGAAGAAAAAAAGCATGTTCCTTAACTCCCTTGATACCAAAAGTTAAAGGCTCAGATCCAGCTGCAATCACAAGCTTGTCATATGCAACTTTAAATTGGTAACGCTCTCCAGCCGATCCACCATTTTTAGCTGCCTCACAGTAGACCTGTTGACATATAACAAAAATCACTAAGCATTTCACAAGAAAGCTTCAGAATTCAGACTGCAGCATTTTATAGAAAAACTTAGTTATAACCCAAATTTACTAGTCCATTAATATTCCACATTGTGCATTCCATGATTTTTAGAATTTCCAAAGCATTTTTAAACAAATAAACAAAGGGTAAATAATTTTACTAACTTCGTGTTTGCCTGTGTCAATGCCAGTGCAAGAAGCTAGAAAGAAGTAGGAGTTGGGGTCCCTTGCTATTGCATCCTGTATTCTGCTAACAGGCTCAGCAACAGACCTGAATTCCAGGGTTCCAACGCATGTTGAAGCCAACAAAGGAGTATAAACCATATGATTCCTCGGAGATATGCACACAACATCATAAATTTTGGTATCTAGCCCTTTAAGGAACCTACAAGCAGCCCAACCCGTACCAAGAACAACCACCCTGGGCTTTTCACCTGGCTTTGTTGCCTCTAGTCCTGCATATCTTGGCTGATCATACTCCAACTCTGACTCAGACTCCTCTATAACCCTCTGTGTGTTAACTGAAGGAAGCTGATAGTATGGAGTTCCTGCTATTCCCCTCATTGAAAAGTTCATATAGTTCTGTTCCTTAATTCTTGGAATATATGAAAACTTTCCACTTGCTTCGGAATTCACACGGGAAGGTAAGGAGCATTTGCATGTGTATGCTCCCTCATTGAACATATCCTTCTCATGTGCATAACTACCAAAAGCACCTCCTGATCTTCTCAAATTGGCCCTAGCAATCCTTGCCAATGCCATTGTTAGAGAAACAGTACTGGAGGCAAGCCTTTACACCGTCTAAGCTTTCTGAAAAGACCAAAGTTCAGAGTTTTTAGTGCTTTCAAGTTTTAACTGTTCAAAGGAGAAGAATGATATGTTTAACAGGAGATAACAACATATATATATATATATACAATTTGGTAAGCAAATTTGGTGCTTCAGAACATGAATAGAGACAAAAGGAAGGACAACTGGAGTTTGAGGGCTGCAAAGAAATCCTCAGTTGACGATCATCGTTTCCAAGAATATGGGACAAGAAAACAAAAAGTTAATATGGCTCTGCTCATCAGCCATTGGCAGATACAAAGAAAGATTCCCGTTAAAGTTTAGAAACTCCCAAAATTTTAACTGAGTCTACAATATTCGACACAAGTAAATGACACATTGAACTTGACACACTTGTTTAGAATATGATGGATACCAAGACATGTCATTTATGTCTAAGGTGGTTTGGTAAAAGATATTTGTATCATTCAATTTTAACGGGTTAACATCATATTAACTTTTGGTGATGCTATCAAACATATTGTCTAAAAAAACTGATCTTATTGAACAAAAAGCTGATCGAGTTAGATTGTCATAAAGATCAAGAGGCTATGCTGTGAATGATTCATGATAAGCGTTATAATTTTTGTAGAGTTGTCCACCCAAAAAAAATAAAAATAAAACCTTTTGTATAGCTTGCACACGGTGGCGAAAAACAAGCTCATTTAATCTCAGATTCAAAATCAGAAGATGAATTTGCATTAAAAGAAAAAAAAAACAAAAAAATTGATGTTCAGAGCTGAGAGGACCAGAAGTTTGGTTTCATTCAAGAAAAATGACCAACTAATTCATAACAAAACAGAGGTATAGAAAGATCAAGAATTTGGTTTTGTCACATTTACAATCCACACAAAAAGCAATGTGACAAAGACATATATAACATCGATTCTCAAAGTCATAACAAAAGCAAGACCACATAAACCAAAGTAAGTTAGCAGAAAGAACAGCTTATTTAGCACAAACCAAAGTACCTTTTTTTTTTTCCCTGTTGGGAGGTTGTAGTTTGGTTATGAAGTGACGAGAGATGAAGATTCAAGAATGAGGCTTTTTCAGGCTTTGTTGGTATGCCAAATTCTCATAAAAAGTTGCAAGGTTTAAATGTGGTGCTTTGCAGGCTGCTATTAAAGTTGGGAGTAGTTAGATACATACGTTATATCTTTACATATACCTTATTCCCATGTGACAAACTGCGCCGCCTTGAGACCCAAGAAATTAGGTTGTTTTTTGAGATTCCAGAAGGTTTTACTTGTTTTTCAAGTATGAATTGTGTGTTTGAAAGAGTAAAATATTGCCAAGTATATAATAATCTAACGGCGGTCCACATGCCCAAGTTATTGGAAAGAAGCACATTTTCCAGCATATGCTATTTCTTATTCTTATGCGGAAGCAACACTAACAGTAACGGTGAACATTTGACATGGTAGAATGTGAAATGACGTTGTTTGGACGAATACAAAGACTACTCTGTCCCTGTAAATTGGCATTTTGTGTTTAGTAAGTGAGAGGATAAATGAGCCTTTACGTCATTTCATACGTTATTTAACAAGATCTGATTTAGATTATATTATTATTCTCTCTCATCTCTCATTATTATTAATTATTTATTTATCAATGAATAATTGTAATTTTTATATGATATGATCATATTAAATACCATATCATGTTAAAAAATGACAAGATATAATAACATCCCCTCCTTCCATATTTGAGGTAATGGAAACTTCCAATTCTCATGAGGCGGCTAATAGGTCAAGTGGACGCGGGAAGGAAAGAAACTGGTCAAAGACGGTGCAATAAAAAGTCTTGCGGTGACGCGGTGATGAAATTTGATCAACGGTTTATAATAATGTGACAACGGGCCCCACAGTTTGTGTCTCCATGAAATGAGTTTTTCCTTGAATCTTCCGTACGTGTCAAGTTCCAGCCTCCAGGTATTGCGGAAGTGTTTTCTTCTTTTGCCACAATGTTGGAGGCCCATTGGGCTGAGTGTGGCAGACATCATTTTATTGTGTGTTTCAAATTCAGTCTCCGCAAGAATGGATCCTCTAGTCTTGCATGATGATATCATGTGAGGCCATCTCTTTCGTTTATAGGTAAATTAATAGTAATTTTTTTTAATATTTTTTCCAATCTGTTTTCTCAATTAATTAATTTATAAATGATCGAGATCTTCTGATATGATGTGACATGAAAATATCCATTTCCCTAGACAAATATCTATTCAATGGTTAACATTTCCTTTACTTTGACAGTTCTTGCTTTATGTCATATTTCCTTGTTGATATGTAAGGGAAATTGACCCTTTTATACTGTTTTGAATAGTATTTACTAGTATGTCACAATTCAATAAAATGCTCCTAAAATATCATCACATTTTTGCTATGCCACCACACGAGACTGGATTGGATACATGACAATGTGTTGCAGGTCACAAATCTCACATAGCAGTGTAGCGAGATTCATAGTCAATGTGGTAGACTACTATATCTGTGAAAAGCTGTCTACGTAGCTAATCTCGCTGGATTGCCCAACGAGAATTGGTATACCTTTTCCACGTGTCAACACCTTAGCCTATCTCATTGGGCTGTTGACCAAAAATGGTTGAAACCGTAAAACCAACAAATGTATGTAATCCACGTGTCACATCCTCACCAATCTCGTTGGGCAGGCTAGCGAGTTATTTGCAGCCAACTCCCTATATATATACCCCACCACCCACTACTCTCAACTTTTTCACTATCTTTTTACAAAATTTGTCTATGTAATTGTGGATTTTCATTTTAAGGTTAGTATTTATTTTTTATTATCGTCTCTGTAATTGTTATTTTTTATTATCCTATGATTTTTTATATTATTTTTATTATCTTATGATTTTTTATATTAACACATGCTAATAACAATAATAATATAAAATAAATACTAACCTTAAAATGAAAATTCACAATTACTTAAACAAATTTTGTAGAGAGAGAAAATTTGTAGAGAGATAGTGAGAAAGTTGAGAGAGATGGGTGGTGGGGTATATATAGGGAGTTGGCTGCGTATAACTCGCTAGCCTGCTCAGCGAGATTGGTGAGGATGTGACACGTGGATAACATGCATCTATTGGTTGTACGGTTTCAACCATTCTCAGTCAGTAGCCCAGCAAGATAGGCCAGAGTGCTGACACATGGAAAATGTACACCTATTCTCATTGGGCAGTCCAACGAGATTAGCCACGTGGACATCTTTTTGCAGATGTGGCAGTCTGTCACATTGTCCATGAATCTCATTACACTGCTGGGCGAGATTTGTTTGTGGCCTACAAGACACTGTCATGTGTCCAATTCAGTCTCGCTTGGTGGCGTAGCGAGAATGTGACGTGATATTTTGAAAAAAATTCATTGCATCGTGGCATACTTTTTTTTTTGTGGAGATTACAAGGAATTGAACACAACACCCTACACTACACACACTCCTAACACACACACCCCACACCACTAAGCTAACCCTAGTGGTAGCGAGAATGTGACGTGATATTTTGAAAAAAATTCATTGCATCGTGGCAGACTAATAAATACTATTCAAAACGATAGCAAAAGGGATGATGTCCTCATATGTAAACACTGTTGCAATGCCAATCAAAGTGGATTTGCTCAAGTTTGCTGTGTTAGTTGCTATATTGCTGCTTTGGAGTTTATTGGATTTACATGTTGCAATGATGGAGATAGTTGTTGCTATGTTTGGATCGAATGAAAAAAAAAAATGATATAAAATTACATTAATTGTTATTGTAACCACATTAGTTTTTTTATTTTGGATTGTTTAAAATCTGGTGATATCCGACTGTTTAATTTCACCACATTTTAAACAATCCAAAATAAAATAACTAATGTCGTTACAATAACAATTAATGTAGTTATTTATATTAATTGGGTTCATCTACTATTAATCCCAATTAGTTTGGGATAAAAATAATGTTGATATTTAAAATCTGGTGATATATAATTAACCTTAAGAAATACATTTTATCCCATTTCATCTAATATCTGCATTCTCTCCCTTCCCATCCAAATTTGAAATATAGAGTGAAATTTATTATTTATTAATCTCTTATCATTTACTCATTTTATAAACATAAATATAAACTTTCCATCATTTTTTCATGAAATATTTAAATAATTCTCAAGTTTCTCTCTTAAGTGGGCAATATATAATCCCAGGAGACGCATCTTACCCTAATTTAAATGTTTATATAATAAACCCCTAAGGGTAGCTCAATTGAAAAGTTGAGCGCCCAAGGATCTGCCTTGTCAATAGTCAATGCAAATTCTTAAAATTTTTTGGGGGCTAGAGTGCGAAAAAAGCTCCTTTTCGGTTGGGATTAGTCTGAGAGAAGCTAGTCTTAGGACCGTACTCTGAGAACAATGTGGTCGGAGGAAATTGAGTAGAGACACCCTAAGTTATATTACAAAAAAATGTTTATATAATATGAGATTAGTATTTGTACTTTTAAAGAACATAAAATTATGTCATTTTAGTCAAAATTGCAGTATTTTATAATGAGTATTAGAGAATAACATGAATTATTAAAAAGGTCGTCATCTAACATAATAGTGAGAGAAAGAATTAAACAATAGAAATCATGGTAGAAGAAAATGAGATTTTTTTTAATTTAAATGTTAAATAAAAAACAGTCATTCGTTTAAAAGAATAAATATTTTTGCCATAATATATTTATACAAACAAAACCAGACTTCAGCTGAAATGCAAGTTATTGAATTTACCTGTTGAATTTTATTTTATTTTATTTACAAAATTGTTCGTTTGGTTGATGAAATGGCTATACTTTCACCTAAAAATAGTATTGTTACAAATTGGGTAGCAATATAATTGTTTTGTTGGTGGGTAAACCTTCACATAGTTGCAGGAAAATTAAGTTATTTTTTACCTATGGGCTGTTGTTGAATTAGTCCATTAGGATCTCTTAAGTGGAATTGTTGATGACTTTGCGGACTAGTTTTTAGGTTGGGTTTTTCATCATGTTAATATTGCATTTTCTAGGTATGGACTGAAAGTATCACTGGTTCCATGGAACAGTCGTTAACCCCAATGTTGATCCTTCTTTTGAAAGACAACTGAATATTCAATAAGGTTAGGTGAAACAAGATTGCTGACCACCAAAGAAGTCCCATTGCCAACTACACTACCTGCATTAGGTAGAGATGAGGAGAGTGTGATGTGAGGTAACTTTCACGTGCCTGTGCCTATTCCAAACCAAACAAAGTGTCCTCTACACAAGGCTCAATGAAGACTCAAATTAATAGGTCAAGAACTAAAATTGTGTTACTTTGAGTTAGAAGAATTGTCAAATGGAGAGCACTGAAGTGAAGGTCTTCACTTTTGGTACACCCCCAATTGACAGCAATATATATATATATATATATATATATATAGAGAGAGAGAGAGAGAGGGGTTTATATTTCTGCGGTTGCTGTACATACAGCAGTCAAATATTTACCATATATATACATGAAAGTATTAAATGTGAGAAATCATAATCATACGTCTGTTCTGTAAAGCGGCTGTACAAATGATTTTACCATATATATATATATATAGGGTAATGTTTTTCTTATGCTGCTGAAGAAAGCTTACCTCATGCCTTAGACTCTTCGAAATTTGAGCCATCAATTTCTTTTTTTCTTATAGTGTAAGATCCACTTGAAAATGTCTCTATAGGAGATACTCTTATCTTCAATGACATGAGAAAAGACAATCCCATATATATATATATATAGTAGGAAATGATCCCCTAAAGATGTGTGTTCAAGCTTGAGCAATTCTAGTCTTAGGAGTAAAAATACGGTTGAGGATAGCTGCTAGTCGCACACCACCTTGAGCCAGCCTTTTCTCCACAATAGGTAGCCGAGAAAGGAAGTAATCATCTACATTATTAAATAGAATAACAAAGTATGAGAGGTCATCCTTTACATATTATGAAATCTAGTAAAAAAAGTTGTACAGTGGTGGCAATCATCCAATGTTGAATAATTTGGTGCATTGTATTGGCCATGTGCAGTAATCACCAAGTACAGAGAAAAATATGAGACAGACTTTAGATTTTGTTTTTATTATTGTTATTTGATAAAATAAAAAAAAGGATTCACTAGAAGAGAAAAAGAATGCAATCCATGAGGACCAGTAGTCCTCCTAAAATAGAAAAGAAAGAAACAGATTCACTCAAAAAAAGATAAAATCAACCCCTTATCATATAAAACAAGGAAACTCCATTGAAGCTAAGCAAAACAAGGAGGCTCCAAAAAACAAAACTACCCCACAAAAGATGAGGAAGAGAAAGTATCTAGTTGAAGATTCTGGAGTTCCTAAAATATTTTAGTTGTAGATGAGAAAGTAGGAAATACCTTCCAATGTGCTTCCTGGTGTGGCATTCTTGTACGCAAACTTGCATGCTAAGCTAATGCTTTCAGAAGCATACCTGAATTGTAATCAATCAAATCATGATATGTAGTTTCTTTACAGAGGTTGTGTAAGAAGTTTTGTAATTTCTAGTAATATGCTAATATAGTAATATGGCAAATCAAGGGGAGCCCATGGCTGTCAAATACACAAGCAAACATTTTACAACACATGGATTAATTAGGGAATTTTCACATCATGAATTCACTGTGTTTTCAAGGTGCAGAGTTATGATAATGAGGCACAGCATATGTGTTACGGAATTAGAGGATGTAGTTCCTAAGAAAAGCTATCCAGCTGTTTGGAGAGTTTATTCCCATAGGCATGAACCTTTTAAAGCTGTGGAAGGTAGGTAGTTAGAAAGGGAACAGTAGTTTGGGTTTTTGGTATAAATAGACACGTGTGATTGGAAACGGATGCTGAGTGTTTTGTTAGTCTCATAAGGAGAGTCTCATTGTGAAGGGAATATTTCCCTTGCTGAAGAGCTAGTCTCTTGTAACATTTCTTTTCCAGAATCAATAAACATTCCCTGTTCCTAAAATTCTTTCTTCTGTTGCGCTAATTTTCCTATTGTGAATTCTTTTAGCTGTAACAAAATGAGTCCATGAAATCTGAAAATATGCATATGAAAATATCGAATGCCAAGCAATACAAAGTGTAACCAGTTTAATTCTCAGCAACCAATCAGACAAAACTAGTGTAAAATGATAAAGAAGGTTGGACAGGATATGTATTATGCATATACCGATCTGGACAAGCTGTGTAGTTGTGTGCACAATGTTCCCAAATCGATACATCAGTTGACCAAATATCCTGCAGAAAGTTAGTAAAAACTATAGTCTCTTGGGCCTATACATAATACAAAATACAAGTCCAAGAAAAGTAATAAGCATGTCCACAAATGAAAAAAATTTCACTTTATCTATGCTGGGTATCTTCATCATTTGAATAAATGCATAAAAATATAGGGGAAATAAACTTACTGTAATATTCCTTTGAATAGCTTGTATCATAATTGAAAGATCTGAACCATAGAATGTTTTCAGAGCAGACTCAATGATCATATTATCCCATACCTGGACCCAATCCAAACTTACCAAATTTAGTCAATTTACTGCATTATTTACAAGGACAGATTGCACAAGCATAATGACAAACAGATCAAAACCAAAATAATATGTGGAAGAGCTCCATGAAAATGTAATTAAGAAGCAATCTCAAACTTTGGCTACACATCCTTAGCTATAGCATGTGAGAATAATACAAGGTTTCTCAAAATTTGGCACCAAATACTAAGTTTAGGAATCTATGCAGAGAAGACATAGAATTGAAGTTAAAATTCAAATTTATTCCCTTTTCTTTAAATTGGATAAAAATCTTCAATATTTCCCTTGCCCATCTAACCTCTTTGTCCCAACCACAATCAATAAAGCCACAGCATAAGAAATCAATAATCATATGGAGTTCTCCAATAAACCACTCCCCAATAAATCCCGACTAGAGAGGGAAGGGGCGAAGGCAATCCTTATACGTAACTTTATCTTTTCATATTTGCAAAAAAGTTATTTCCTAGATCCAAATCCGTAACATTTTAGTTACAAAGGAATAATTTTACCGCTGCACTAGGCTCGCGCTCTAATCATATGGAGTTCCAATGCTGGTAAAAATTCTATTAGAAAAGAATGAATCTTTGATAAAAGACAAGATGAAAAGAAAAAAGCACACTCTCCATCAATCAAAAATACTCCATAAACAATGGGATAAAATGCCTAATACATAATAGTTAGGTAGCATAAAGCAATCAGCCTGCATCAACTAGCATACAATCTGATTCTTAAGACTTACATGATGAAGATTTGTTTTCCTCCGGTACCAACGAACTGTTATTGAGTTTCCACCTAGGTCTCCTGTGAAACCAACATGTAGGGGCTGCACCAGAAAATGGGAACTAAATCGAACCCTTTAACACAAGTTTGGAGAAAGAAAAAAACATATTTAACCATATGATTGTAATTTTTACATTGTACATAGAGAATAATGTCATAACCCATTCCCAGCAATCCTTGTTTTAAAGTTTCAAGTTCTCTTTTGTCAACTTAACTACCTATAGGTAAACTCAAACTCTGATATGCCACTCAAGCAAATCAAGGACAAAGATTTGAAAATCATATGCACTTTTTAGACCAAGTATAAATTTTGCTGTTTATTAGATTTTAAATAGGAACCAGGAAGAACAAACCTGATGAACATCCCCAACAAAATGAGACAAGAACATAAGTGCCTCTGTCAAATTATCTGTAATTGATAAAGAAGGAACAGCAAATTCAGGGACCTATCTTTGTATGGAACGAGCAAGTTAAGAATATATTCAGTAAATGCTCACAGTTTAATTCAGATGAAGTGTCTGCATCAGCTGATTTGAGTTGTATTGTATAATTGTATATCGCTCCGGTAACACATCTATGTTTATGTCCATAAGAATCATGACAGTCTCCTATAAGAACCATGAGATACTTATAGGAGATTGAGCAGTCTAAATATGCAATAATGTTAACCACAACAATTTCATCTAGACAATTGTACTAAAGAGCCAAACTTACTGCAGTATTCATAGTTACATCTGTAATCTGGTGTGTCAACATAATGTAAGGCACTACTCCAACGATAGTGGTAATTATGCCTAACCTCATCAGCCCAAGAGCAAACTGCAGCAAGATCACCTTCAGCAGAATCTGGAAGCAGTTGTTTGACTGCAAATAGAGCATCTTCAGTAAGATACTCCTAGAATTTCAAACATTCAAAGACCTTTGATCAGCCCAACAATCTCTGAACAAAACCTCTTATACTCCTCAATTCAAATTCTAACTTACCCTTCAATTAAATATCAATACTCAATCATTTAGCATTCATGACATGCTCTACACTTCAATATCCCATCTATTATTTATTTATTTATATCTAAACCAATTTAGGGTGTGTTTGTATTGGCTTTCAAAGAAAGTCTTTTTTATCACTTCCTTATTTTAAAAGTACTTTCTATAAAAGTTACAACTATTTAGATTTTTAAAAAAATATCTGATCTTTGAAAAAAATATTTGACTTTTGACTTCTGCTATTTTTAAAAGTTAAAATTTTTAGCTTCCAAAAAAAGTAAATTTTGACTTTTTTTATGACTTCTGCTTATTTTTAAAAGCTAACGTCCAAACGGACTTTTTTCGAAAAGTGTTTTTTTTCCCTTAAAAAAACCAGCTTTCGAAGAAAAAAAAAGTCCATCCAAAGATGAACATCATGGAATATCAATAGGGGTCAAGAGTAGTTGTTTAAACACTAGAAAATAACTGAGATATGAATGTAGAATCAAATGTTAAAATTAAAATTTCACAAGCTTTGGCAACTAAAACAGATGGTATGTTTACCTGTGTTATCTTACAAATTGCGTAGTGACCCTCCTTTCCCCAACCCAGAACAGCTGGCAGTGGCATCAACAACAGAAGAAAGATCACTCTCACTCTCCCATTACACAGTAACTCAGAGACACCCAAATTCATATGCATTTCGTACAACACAAGTTCTCAAATAATGGGGGAACAGACAGACATAGACGAAATCATCGTCAGTGTTTTTTGCTAATACCAGAATGCTAAATGTGCCACGAATATTTTAGTGCTAAGATTCGTAGAGGACCCAAACCCCAATTAACAGGTGACTTCTGTCTAAGGAATGATGTCATGGATGAGTGTATATATAATATTAAATATTGTTATTCAATTAAACTTAAGATTTTCTGTAATGATAAACAAATTTAACAAAAATTAAAAATTAGTATAACACTTTAAAATATGGGGAAAGCATTTCTACATCTGTGCCACAAAAATAGATAGAAAAAATAGAGCGGGATCCTCGTGTCGTGTCATTAGTTTCTCTCTTCATTTTTTTTTTATGTGGCAGAAAAAAACAGACGCAAAAATATTTTTCCCTTGAAATAATATTACATAATAACTTAAATACATTAGTCTTACATAAATATAATTAAAAAAATTTATATTATAAATACTACATATGCATTCTAAACTAAAAGATATATATAATTTATGATAATTGTTTATCTTATTTAACATAAGATAAAATCTTTTTTTTTCTTATACTCACGTATATAAGAGAGAGGAGAAAGAAAAAACATAAATGAATCTCATTCCTATCACTCAATATGTGTGTAAAAAAATGACATTTTTTAAATGACATTTTCACATGACTCGAGTTCAAATCCCAACGGCTGCAGCCGGTTTTCACAACACTGCTCACATATATAAGAGAAAGGAGAGAGAATAGGAGAGAAAAAAAAAACATAAAAGTGTAGGCATTTTTGGATTTATTTTATTTTAGGAAAAATCTTTCAAGTAAAAGATTTTTTGAAAAGATTTTAAAAAATAATTATTTCTTAAACAAATGGGTTTTCCTTTATAGGGAATAGTGGTAAAGCTATAAGTTGAGTTGAGGAGATTATCAAAAAAAAAAAAAAAAAAAAACTAAGAGCAAATATCTTTTTTGGTCCTCAACAAATCTCACGATGTCCGCTTTAGTCCCTAGCAAATAAAAAGGCCCATCGTGGTCCCTAAAAAATTCAAAATATGAGTACTAATATGGGTCTTTTTTGAATTTGTGAAGGACTAAAATTTCAACTAAATGAGTCCATTTTGAATTTTTTAAGAACCACGATGAGCCTTTTTATTTACTAGAGACTAAAGCGGGCATCGTGAGATTTACTGAGGACCAAAAATGATATTTACTAAAAAAAAAAAACTATAAGTTGAGGAGGGGAGTTTCATTCTTCCTATTAACAGTGGTTCTCTTCGTCATTTAATTAGTAAAGTTAAGAAAACGAGTCACTTAATTTGCAGCGCTACAATTTTTTGCAGAATGTTTCTTGAAATAATAACTTTGAAATAGTATCTATTTTTTTTCTAATTATATTATTATTCTTTACGAAATAATCATACTTGATGATCACATTTACTTTTTTTTTTTTTCGAATTGAAGAAGAAATTCAAAAAAAGTTAAATGTAGTTTGCCTTGTTCATGTGATCGACATAGAGTAATTTAACGAACAATAAATTAAACGGGATTTAGAAAAAAATTAACATTTAGCCAGCTAATAAGAGACGTGTCATGTAGGTTAAGACACATTTTCACATGTCTCCACTGAATATGTGTCATTAGTTAAAAAAGTAATAATTTTTTGGGAGAATAGCTCCTGCCGTCCCAAGCAGAAAGTTATTCTTATGCTAGTGATATATTCTTTGCATTTTATTTTTTTTTTGTTAAAATGAAAAAATATTTGTTTTTTTAAAAGATATAATTTTGTATCATTTTAGATATTAATTATTAATTTTTTTCAATCAATGATTATAATCTATTAGGCCAAACTTATTATTAATAAATTAACCTAATAAATTATAACGATTGATTGACAGATATTAACGGTTAGGATTTAAAATGACATAAAATTTATATTTTTCGAAAGCACAAATATTTTTCTCTTGTTCAAATATGATAGGGCCATTCAAAAACTACATCTGCAAAAATTTCTCTTGTTCCGTGAAAGGAGAACAACAAAGCCTAATAATTTTTCCCTCCTTATTTTTATTCCTCCTCTCACCCATTTAGGCAGAATTATCATTTCATATAAGTACGAGTCAAATTGTTATTTTTGTTTATTAGAATAAATGGATATTTGAAGGCCCAAAAGGCCTAATATTTGAAGGCGACATGAAAATTATTCAAATAAAACATCTAAAAAACAATTTTTTTTTAAGAGAAATGTTCATGTCAAATTGAAGCTTTACGATAATCAATTTATTCCAAGCTTGACATGTCGATTTTCAGTATCTCAAAATGAGGAAAGATGTATCATTGCACAAGCACATGATGGTGATAAAGAAATGTTGGGATCCTCTGGTAAGATTTATTTACCTAAAATAATTAGCAGTGTTTCTTTAAGAGGTCATTACATTTTGTTTAAGGAAATTGCTTCCTTGGACATGATGTGCATGATAAATGGTACAGCTGAAAGGAGAAATGACTTATACATGATAATCAATAAAGCTTCCCAGAATTCAAGTACGGCAAATAGCAGCTGTGGAGCTACAAGAAGTAATGTAGATGAATCTCTTCTTTGGCATAGAAGATTGGGACACTTCTCAAAGGATGTACTACAAAGAATGTCTTTGTATTTTCCTTTTATTCCTTCCACACATGTAACTCCATGTGATATATGTCATTTAGCAAAGCAACGAAAGCTTCCTTTTAGTTCCAGTGAGACTAAAACCAGTAAATTTTTTGATTTGGTGCATACAGACATCTGGGGCCGTTTTTCAACTACATCAATAAATGATCATCGTTTCTTTCTTACTGTTGTTGATGACTATTCACGTTTTACATGGATTTTTCTTATGAAAAGCAAGAGTGAAACTAGACAACATATTCATGATTTTGTAGCCATTGTTGAAACACAATTCAACACTTCCATTAAGTCAATTCGAAGTGATAATGGAATTGAATTTGCTATGAATGATTTTGACAAGAAAAAGGGAATTCTTCACCAAACCAGTTGTGTTGAGACTCCACAACAGAATGGTTTAGTAGAACGAAAGCATCAACATTTGTTAAATGTAGCTCGTGCATTTTTATTTCAAGCTAACCTGCCACTCACATTCTGGAATTATGCCATTCTTCATGCTGCACATATTATCAATCTTCTAGTTCACCTCTTCTGGCCAACCAAACACCATATCAGAGATTATATGGAATGCCCCCATTGCTGATTCACCTACGGGTTTTTGGCTGTTTATGCTATGGTTCAACCTTGCTAGCTCATGGCACCAAATTCACTCCTCGAGCTCGCAAAGCTGTGTTCTTGGGATTCAAAGAAGGAACAAAAGGGTACATCTTATATGATCTAAACTCGCACCAAATTTTTATCTCAAGGAATGTAGTCTTTTATGAAACACATTTTTCATACCAACCGAATCATACCATACAAAACACACCTTCAAGTTTATTTGAAATAAGCCATCCAAATGAACCTCCTTATGACAATTTTCTTCCCTCCACACAGCCACCTAACCCCCCACATTCACCATACCTTATGCCAGATGTAACCATTTCTCCCATTCCCACACAAACTCACATCCCATCAACCATTCCACATACCACACCCAACCTATCATATTTCTTACCTCCTTCTGATTCAGACGCCTCACCTAACATCCATGACAAGCAACCAACCTCAGAACATGCCACCTCATCCAACATCAATGACACAAACAACACAGATGGCAATCTTCGCCGCTCCTCACAGGTTCGAGTACCTCCAAATTATCTTGTTGATTATCATGTTGGGCTCTCCACAGCTTCCAAGAGTCCTCCAAGTAGTTCCACATTTCCCACAAGGTATCCCTTATCCAATTTTATTTCATATGATACTTGTACTCCCTATTATCATCACTTTTGTTTGACATCTTCATCCTACACTGAGCCACGCACATATATACAAGCTGCCAAATTCACACATTGGCTGCAAGCAATGGAGAAAGAATTACATGCTTTGAAACTAAACAATACTTGGGTGGTGGTACCATTACCTGCTGGAAAACAAACAATTGGGTCAAAATAGGTTTTTAAGATTAAATATCAATCCAATGGATCCATTGAAAGGTACAAAGCAAGATTAGTTGCCAAAGGCTTTACACAGCAAGAGGGAGTCGATTATTTTGATACATTCTCCCCAGTTGCTAAGCTAACTTCCGTACGCACATTGCTTACCATAGCTTCTATCAAAGGTTGGTTCCTCGAACAGTTGGATGTAGATAATGCTTTTCTACACGGAGACCTCAATGAAGAGGTTTACATGGATCCTCCCCCTGGCCTCTCCTCTTCTGGCAATCTTGTTTGTAAGCTCCAGAAATCATTGTATGGCCTTAAACAAGCCAGTCGTCAATGGCATGCAAAGTTGTCTTCCGCTCTTTTGTCCTTGGGATACATTCAAGCACATGCAGATCATTCTATGTTCACACTCAGAACTGAGTCCTCCTTCACAGTCCTTCTGATTTATGTTGATGATGTCGTTTTATCTGGTGACTGCATGACTGAAATACAACGAGTTAAATACACCTTGGCAAGCTACGCTATTTTCTTGGCTTAGAGATTGCACGTTCCAAATCTGGCATACTTCTTAACCAACGAAAATATGCATTGGAGTTACTGACAGATGCTGGACTTTTGGCTGCAAAGCCTGTCCCCACTCCCATAGTACCAGTTTCATCTACCACTCAGGCTCAAAGTCCTCTCCTATTAGATCCTACAGTCTATCACCGATTGATTGGAAGACTTTTATACTTAACTACAACCAGACCAGACATTGCATATGTTGTTCATCATCTAAGTCAGTTTGTTGCATCTCTGTGTGCTCATCACCTTACAGCTGCTCACCGGGTTCTACGGTACTTGAAGAATGCCCCAGCCAATGGCTGTTTTATCCTTCTCATGGTTCCTTGTCTATACGAGCATTTGCTGATTCCGATTGGGCATCTTGCCCTCTTACCCGTAAGTCTGTTACAGGCTTTTGTGTTTTCATAGGAGATTCGTTAGTGTCTTGGCGTTCTAAGAAGCAGACAACTATCTCTCGTTCATCTTCAGAAGCAGAGTACAGAGCTCTAGCCAGCCTATCTTGTGAATTGCAATGGTTCCAATATCTTTTCCAAGATCTTGGCTTATCCTGGCACACTGCCTCTGTCTATTGCGACAATCAATCCGCTATGTATCTTGCTCACAATGCCACATTCCATGAGCGTTCTAAACACATTGACATTGACTGTCATGTTACTCGAGACAAGATACGTTCTGGTCTAGTCCGACTTCTTCCTGTATCTTCAGCTCATCAAATCGCACATGCTTTTACCAAGCCACTACACTCCTCCACGTTCATTTCTGGTATTTCCAAGCTGGGACTGGTAAATATACTCAGTCCAGCTTGCGGGGGCTCTTACAAGAGTCATCAAACTCAAGCCCAAATCAAAAGACAATTGATCCAGGCCCACAGTATCAAACACAAAACAACTTCCGGGTTCCACACAATACCAAGCCACATGGGACCAATCATAATAGATAAACCAAATCTGTTTCAGTTAATTGTTGAGTTTATTAGAATTTGTTAGTTAGTTAGAGTTTGTTAATTAGCGCTGAACGTTCAAGCTTTACTTTGTAATTATAAATAGCCATATGTAATTCATTTAGTTCAATTAATGAGAATGAGGAAATTTTCAATTTCAAGAATAGAGAAATTGAGTTTAGTGATACTCATGTAAGATACAAAACTTCAAAAAAAAAAAAAAAAAAAACTATGCTTGTAGATAGTAAATTTATGCTTAAGAAAATTATTGGCAACGTTATAATACGGATATGATATATGATTATTTTGATATACATCAATATCTTGCAAGGATTATGATTTGAGCCTGATTTATTTATTCTTAATGATTTAAATCATGAAAGGATTTTTTTGTCAATGCCAGATTTTTGTGAAACCCTTTTCATTGTTACTTTCACTCGTATCAATATCTCATTAAGTGTATTGAAGATAAAAATATCATTAAAAATATTTGTATTTTTTAATATTTAATTATGAAGTTTTGTTACTAGGGCCGTTAATTTTTCTATTGTAATATTTGTATTTCATAGACTTGTTATTTTTTTGTATTATAGAGTGTCTTTATACCTTATGTTTATTCAACAGTATGTAACTTGATATGGTTAAATAATATTTATATCTATATCATTTATTTTATAAAATTTATATTCCTAGTTTCTTTATAATATAAACGTAGTATTTTATTCAGAAAAAAAAATAGAGTACATAGTTAACGGAGGATCAATAATATTAAATGTGGGCTGAAATAAAATGAGGCTGAAAAGTAAGGTTATAGGGCTAGCCTGCGAGCTCTGACCCATTTTGACAGGTTTAAGTGACAACAACATATTAGACGTGTCTATATTAATATAGGTTAATCCAATACATGGACAGGACTGAAAAATGGGGCTGTGATTAGTGTATTAATTTTTGAATAAAAATCATAGGTACATCCGGTATACTAAAAATGTCCACGGACAGGACATATGTGAAAGATTGTTAAATTACTTTTAGGGGGTGTTTGGTTCAAGTTTTTGAAGATGATTATCGGTAATCCTTCTTTGGTAAATGTAATTACCACGTTTGGTAGAAGGAATAAATTACGATTCCCGGCTATCCAAGGATTACCGGTAATTTGATTTATAAAGAAAAGTCACTATTCAGATTACCAAAAATAATATGGTAATTCGGAATACCAATCAGAATACCAAGTAAAGGGAAAGCACAACAATAAATTTTGAGACAAAAATACCCCAATACACATAAAAATCTAGACCCAATCTATCAATTACAAAAGTAAAAATAGTTTGGGGTTATTTTTGTAAAATAACCTCATATTCCAAGTCATATTTCGTTCTAAACCAAATATGGAATCAGTAATTTTTACCCAATATTTCCAGTAATATTTTGGCGAACCAAACACCTCTTTCATAAGATTCCAAGTAAACTCAATTTCTACTGAATTCCTATTAATCATGATTCCCGGTCACCAAAAAATTTCTCTTGTACCAAACACACCCTTATTTTATACGTATATTACCTTAGTACGACTTGTTATGTTATTTAAGACTTATATTTGTTTAAGAGAAATATTTAAAGTGCACCGGAGTACGATGGAACTTCCATTGAAAGCATGACACTTGGATTAACAATACAAAATTCTCTCTCCTCCGTACTGTTTGCACAGAAAATGCCAGTTTCTCATTGGTTTATCTCACCGAATCTCTTGTGTACCGGGTGTAGTAAAATTTCACTATTGTTTAAGATTCATTATGTTGTTTTTTTACTTCGTAGGAGACATGTTATTTTTAATTCAAACATATTATGTAGAATATATCTTCTATTTCATATTTTGATATCTATTTTAGCAGTTTATTATTTTTTTTTAATGTGGTAAACTCTTGAATTTTACTCAACTCAAACTAAAGCGAGTCAAGTGGAAGGAAAAAATTCCTTGACCAAATCCAACGCACTGTTCAAAAATATCCTAAAGAATACCAAGAAAGTATTATTTCTGCTGTTAAAATTTGTTAACTAAAATGTTCGACGATATTTTACACCGGTGCAACATATTTTCGTGTGGACAAATCCGATTTTCCAAATCAACAAAAAAGTGATAAATATATATAAGGATTAATGTTTCTTTAAGAGATAAAATTCTCTCCTACACACACATTAAATTGTGTAAGGCTCATGTGTAGCTATATGAAGAGAAGAGAAAAAAAAATATGAACCCTACACACTCTTATGTGTATGTAAGATATAAAATTATTTATTTTATCTCCTATAACATAAGAAATACTATATATATATAGGAATAATATCTATCCTTTTAAATGATATAAATTTATATCTTTTTAGATCTTAACTGTTGATTTCCTTCCATCAACGGTTATAATTTATTGGATTAAAATTATTAATTAATTAATAATAAATTTGGCCCATTAAATTTGATCTAATAGATTATAACCGTTGATGAACGAAAATCAACGGTTAGGATATAAAAGGATATAAACTTATATCTTTTAAAAGGATAGATATTTTTCCCTATATATATATATATACACTTCTCATGTCGTTACAAAAAAAGTTCTTTTTATAGCAAACACATATTTACTAGAATACGAAGTCGGATCTTGTCATTAAAAAAAAAAAAAATCAATGGGTCACATTTTTTCAATGTTTGCTGCAAACTTTTGCTTTTCACAGGAACTATAGAAAAAGTAAATCTATAAAAAAAAAAAAACAAATTTATAAGTCAGACAAATATAACTGCTACACTAATGCCAATAAAAGAAGGGATTATGAACTCTTATGCAATAAGAGATAGTAGTTTTCTACCAAGACACAACCTTAATAGGTTTCACACTTAAAAGAAAAGAAAATGAAGGCTCAAATCTCTATCTCTATGAGTGTGTAAGACAAGGATGTTTTCTTATACAACATGAGAAGAAAATTATTGCCCATAAAAGAAACAGTCGCGATAACAAGTAAAAAAAATGCACATAATAATAGGGATGTGCATGGGTCGAATCGAACTGAATTGGTTTAAATGGTTCGGTTCGGAAGTAATTCGGTTCGGTTAGAAACGGTTCAGTTCGGTTCGGAATCGGTTCGGGTCAACCCTCTTTTGAAAAGAAAAAAAATTAAAAAGTAAAGTTATAAAAATCAATTTGGTTCGGTTTGAAAACGGTTCGGTTCAATTCAAAATGGTTCGGTTCTTAAACTGGTTCTAAAAACCGGTTCGGTTCATGAACTAGTTTTTTAAAAACCGGTTCGGTTCATGAACTGACTTTTAAAAACCGATTATTTTAAAGGCGATTCGGTTCATGGTTCTGTTTATTTTTTTATTATTTTGCACACCCCTAGATAATAATACTCAACAAAGGCAAGTCCCTTGCTAGTTTTTTGTTTGATAAAACTAAGGGGAAAACGATGCATCTTCTGCTTTAAAAAGTTTTATAGAATTACAAAGCAGAGACTTTCGAGGAATTGAGAAACAAATGCATTTGCTAATATTAATTGTGATTGCCATGAAATCTTCCTGGCTGCGATAAATAAATTTGCTGCGGGAGAAATTGGAAAAAAAGAATGGGGAGGATAAATGCAATAAATCACTAAGCCCTCAAGAAAGTCCCTCACCATTCAAAGGCAATTTAAACAGATGCAGCCTGCTTCACATGTTTCACAACCTAAACACTTTCCCCTAGAAATTAAGACGACGAAAGTAAGTAATGCTGCTCACGGTTCTACTTCTAGGATTGTATTACAACAACAACCGATCTCTGCAAACAAACCAAACAAAAAAAAAAAAACATTATTTTTTCAGAGTTAGATATTTGGCCTTATTTCTCACATCCTATTACATTAAGAAATGTAAAATAAGAACAAATAAACAAAAATCTAGTTAATATTGCTTCAGAAGAGAATGTTTCAAGGATAGAAAACAAATGGGTTCTAACTATATAACTGGCAATCCACAGCAAGCAATGCGTGCTAAAAGTTTTAAGACTAAAATTAAAGAGAAAAGAAAGCGAGCAGAAAATATAGGAAATAATCATTAATTGATGTCATGCTGCTACTGTGCTTCACTAGTTGTTCATAAAACAAATTGACGTTTTCAAAGAAATTAAACAGATTTTTATTGTTATTTTTTTAAAAATAATGACCACAAATATTGCAATGATATTGTGACAAGTCAATAGTAAGCGCACGACATTCAAATGTTTTATTCAGCATCCATACTATTATTCATCGTGATTGAAAAGTGGGAAGGAAATCATTGTGCGCATCGCTTGGCAGCCAAGGCTATGGATGAAAAGTTCAGATACAAGGAATACTTGTCTCCTCCATCTGATTTACTTGCTGAAATTTCTGCTGATATAGATATATAGTCTATCCATAGGAAGTCTTTAGTTTTGCTTTTTGGGCCTATGCCCTCCCTATGTACAAAAAAAAAAAAAAAACAGAGACACAATTACATTCACTACATTCTCAAAAACAATCACAGATGGAGTAGTAGATTAAAAGCAAAGTTAAAACTGTCAATACGTGGGAAATGATCAATTAGATAGAAGTTAGAGTTTGCAAACCTCATTAATAGTTTTCCATAATTTTTTTGAAGAGCTGCTTTGGTGCTGCAAATGCAAAAATGGAATCAAAGAAAGAAAATAAGATGTCCAAACCAATCAGATCAAATAAAGTACAGACCAAAAAACTAGGATCGAAAGGTATATGGAACTTAGTTAATTAGAATTTGTACGTCCAGCTTACCCGGCAATCCAGTAAACTTCTCATACTGTTCATATGCTTGTCCAATAAACATCTCCAATCCTGTTACAACAGTGGCTCCTGATTCTTCTGCTTCCTTCAAGAGTCTAGTCATTTTGGGCGTGTAGACAGCATCAAAAACCAGGGAGTAAGATTTCAAAGCATGCTGCAAAAACAAAGGAATGATTAGTTCTCCAGAATTCAACTTACTCATGTTCCATATCATGAGATTTTGTGCCTTAATGGAAGTTCATACTAATAATATTTGATAATGCACCCATCTAGAACAGAAACACGATGGGCCAAAATTAAATGGATGGTGAAAGTGTGTTTATTTGGGCCAACGCTTGATTTCCAATAAAAAATGAGAATATTTTTGTTGGCTAAGTATTTGATATTTTGCTCAAGTTAAATTCAACTATACCAAATGAACACACAATCCTAGAGAGTTTCAAACCACAAGGTCAAAGTCACAGACAAGGCTTATGAAGCATTTAGGCATTATTAACCATATTGATTTCCAACCAAACTTCTGTTAAGTCAGGGATATCATAACGTAAAATGACATATAAAATTTTAGTGAGATCCAGTAATGAAATATGCATTTCCATAACCAATAATCATATTTGATTTGAATAGAAATCAAATCTTCATTAGGAAACTGGGGGTAGATATAATGGTCAATAACATATCAAATTCAAGACTGCCACTACCGTTTACTTAAATAAATAAATAAAAGAAAAAAAAATCCACTAATAATATTACAAGACCCTAATTGGTATAGCACTGCCATATTAAAGGAGCAAACCTTAGAAATTGGTGTTTCATCGACTTTTGGTTGCATTCCTATTGACGTTGTGTTTGCAAGAATCATATCATCCTCTGGATGGTAATTATCTAAATCAGCAAGGGCTAAAGCATCTCCTCCAATTACATCAGCAAGTTCTCTGGCACGATCTATATAAATAATACATATAATACATCATTTAATGCTTAACAAGGAAGAAAAGTAATAGCTAAGATTGTTTCTGTCAGATAAGCTATACCGTGAATGCAATATACTGATTCCAGGGCAAGCAAAACTATGCCATATATTATATTAATAACTCAAGTACCAATACAGGAAGGTTACATAAATAGAAAATGGAAATTAAGATCTATTGAGACTTGAGAGATCATTTCCTCAATCATATTTAAGTAAGTAACTGATTCTCCCTCTCTCTCTCTCTCTCTCTCTCTCTCTCTCAACACACACGTATGCTATTATCCAAAACTTCTATCAAAATTTTGCATCCACGTGACAATTAACTGAACAAACAAATCTACTGACATGAGTGGAATATAAAATAGTAAATAGATTAAGCCTTCTATTATTTAAGAGAGGAGTTTTAAAAAGAAAAAGGAGAGTAATGCATATAAAGGTAAACAAAAGATGAAAATTGAAACAGGCTAGACATTAACATTTACAGAATGCAAGTTGTTTTATTAAGCTCGTGATCAATATATCAGAAGAAGTACAACCCAAAGAGAACAACCGAGATGCTTCAAACCACTATAATTATTCCCAAAATCATGTAACTTTTTGCTATAATGATTGATTTTTCTCTTCTAGACCAGAAATGTCTCACGAAGGCAATTCTCATCCTTAAAATCAATTATAAATATTCATTACATTATCAGCTATCTTCCACATATGATGTTTTGTCAACAAGGTCCTAGAAGAACCTTTCACAATTCAATGTGTTTTAACTTTAAGCAGGAAAATACAAATAATGAAGCTTACCATAGGTGCGGTTCGCAACCACAATCCTTGCTCCTTTCTCTTTTGCACCATAAGCAAGTGCCTTCCCAGCACCACCAGCCCCAATAACAACAAACAGCTTACCAGCTAATGGCGAAATAGCTGTGCCACTACCATTATGTTTACCTGCCAAGAAATAATTGAAGTACACAACATCTTCAGAAGAACAGTTACCAAAGGCATAAATTGCTTAGCCACTGAATTTCACATCTACCTCGTAGCCCATCCTCAATTGCAGAAATAGCACCAACATAATCTGTGTTATACCCAATCAACTTCCCATCAGTGGGTCTTCTTATAATGCAATTCACAGCTCCTATTAACTGCACTTGTAACCAATTTGAAGTGTTTACAAAAAAGGAATAAAAACTCTTCGAAATACTGATCCATGATTGTCAAACATGCATTGTAACACAACATGAATTAATAACTAAATACCTTAGCCACTGGATCAACCTCATCACAGCACTTAAGTGCTGCCTCCTTGTGAGGAATGGTAACACTGAAATATAAATATTAAAGATCAAACTCTAGTAGCTGTGTGAGAAGTTTAACTATGTAACAGAGAAAAATGGTTGAAATAAAACAATGCACTAGTGACCTGAACAATGAAAAAGAGATAAGGAGTAACAAAAGAATGAAAGAAAAGAGTCTAAAGGGATAATTTGATGAGTTCCAACAATAGGACAATATTTATAGAAGGGGAAGAGAACTAGGAATCATATAAAGGGTTCCTTGGGAATTTAAGCAAGGGTTTAATTGTATTACAAAATATAAAGATATAGATTCACAACTGCTTAATTTTTTCTTACTTATATACCACTAGGGCCTACATCCCTAGATCTGAAAGGATTACAATATGTATGTGCCTCAAGGGACCTTATGCTCATAAAGTTCAAAAAACAAAATAAAATAACACTAATAGCATATATATGACTGAATGGCATACCAGAAGTATCATAAAAGATGTGAACCAACTACATTCATTGGCCAGCAGCTTGGAAATGTTAGGGTGCATTTGATTTTTTTTGTTTTCATTTTCAGTTGATATATTTTAACTAATAATTACAAAAATGCCACCTTTTTTTCACTTTGTTTCTCGTTTTCATGATTTTGTAAAGGAAAAACTGAAAACAACAAAAATCATGAAAACAAGAAGCAAAATGAAAACCAGGTGGAATTTTTGTAATTATTTCTTAAATCATAGCTGAAAATGTACACAAAAAGCAAACCAAACAGTAACACACCCTTAAAGAAAGATTCATCAACTCTAAACAGTGAACTAACATGAAATAAGGCTTATGAATTCTAAAATTCAAATAAAATTAATCATGAAATGGCTTAACGAGATTTTACATCCACGCTTGATTTGTCAAATCAATGTTTGAGCCGTTGAAATACTTTGACAACCCTTTCTAAGTTCTGAAATATTTCTAGGTATCCTCAACACTTAGTATAACAACATATCAATAACCCAAGTCACTAAAGTACAAGCAGTAGACTAATAGAGCTCTTTAGCAAACCCAGGAAAAATTTCCAGCATGCAAAAAGCATCTAGAAAGTGTTATCATAATATAACCACAGCAGATATGCAAGAAACATCAAACATTAGATTACATAAATTCAAACAATCTTCGAAAGGAATTAGAACCTGAATCCCACAAAATCTGTTGATGAGTAAGTCCTGAGAAAATTGGCAAGATCATCCACCAATAAGAATACATAAACTCCATCAAAACCCACTGACTTGTAGGCTTCATTGTACAATATGGGTGATTTACTGTGACTGACAGGCTTTCCAATGATCCCATATACTTTTGTATCAGGTCCAAGTTGTCTCAAATTGTATAGATCCAATAGATCCTTAAGCGTAGGTTGACCAGGAGCTGAAATTACTCCTGACTTGAGGGTACCAAAAGTCAGGTACCCACCAAATTTTGTACAAAGTATACGTGAAATCAATCCCCTATCACCCATTACAAGTCCAATAAATGGAACCTGTAAAATCCAACAATGGTTATGCTAAATTAATTATTATCATATAAAAAGCCTCAACATAGTAATCATAAATTTCAGTGCTACCAGTCAATATATAATCAAAACCAGACGAATATTGCTCGAAGGGAAAGTGTACGTATAAGGTCACCTGCTCATGAGAGATAAAAGAGAAAGTATACGTGGAATTAAAATTTTGTTCAAGTTTCCATTTGTAGACATACGCGTCTTACTTGAGAGTGCACCATTATTTGAAACATGCGTGCCACATCAGTGATCTCCAAGGCAGTTGTAGCAATCTTCACTATGTCTGCCCCGGTTGCTTGTATTCTAGCCACAAGGTTGCCAAGATCCTCAACTGACGGAGTACACTGATAGTTGTGAGATGAAACAATGACCTTGGTTTTATTGAATGTCTTCCCACGTATAGAGTCATAGAACTGAGGAGCAACCTTTGGAGATATGGCAGAAATAGGAAATGTTTCAGAGTTCAGACATTAGACAGCAAATAATATGAAGACAGTATCTGGCTTCATCAAATGAAGGAAAAACGTTTAAATGGAAGACAAGGATAAATTATTTGCTTTCAGGTCCACTATCTTATATTTCTAGACACTACTTTGATTATCAATATATGAGAGAAGTTACAAGCATTCAACCTGCAGCTGATTTCGTAAAGAAAAGCTCAATGCCAGATGCTACTAACGTGAGATATTTCCACTAGAATCATGCGAAGATTGAAATTTAACCAGAAACCTCTACAAAACAATCTAAAGGCATCTTTGGGATATGTATATTTTCTTCAGCATCATCATGATGAATAATTGATTCATAATGCATGGAACTGGTAAACAAAGAGCATAACTCATGAGGAATGGAATATAATAGTATATACAAATAAACTGCAGCCAATTTTAGTCCATAACATAATGTATTGGCAAAACTAAGGAACTAGATTCAGCCAAATTTAGTACAGTAGAATAATCATATCAACATAACCTACCCAAGAATTACTATTTTTCTTCTTCTTTTTTTAACAGAACTCTCCCAATTTGTCTGAATTGAGTAAGATAGCATTTAGGGTTATATATCTAAGTATTTATATTATAACGAAGATATTAGTGGAGTGCAATGCTCGATTTATATAGACAAGGGGAAAAAAAACCTGCAATTCAATGTCAACGTAATCAGCTCCCAACTCCATGGCCAATCGTAGTGCATCCAATCGTCTGTTTTCATCACCATCATACATACCACCCTCCCATTTTGGCCTTAGAAAAGATATTGAATTTCCATCATTTCCATATCATATCATATCAGATCATAGTGATCAACAAATTAAGACTTAAAACACAGCACGTAGCATACAAAAAAGCACAAGATTTGTAAAAAGCTGGCAAACCTGTAAGTAAACAACAAGGGCAAAGCATGGTCTTGAATCAGAGTGTTAAGGTCTTCATAAGGGTTGAAGGTGTTCAAAGAATCTAATCGTATTTCAACAAGGTCAGCACCACTAGCTTTAGCATTATGTACATCAATCTTCATTTGGTCAACTGATTCCCCCATTATAGGAGCACAGATTAAGGTTTCACTCTTCCTCATTCCTTCACTTCGCGATGATGGCGACACAAGCTGAAGAACACCACAAAACAATGATTAAGATTGAATATGAAGAAGCATTAGAAAGATATTATGCATCTTGGTAAGTTAAGTTTACATGGATTGAGTTGGTTGCAGTCTTGCAGAGAGAAAATCACCAGAAAAGAGAAGAAACAGAGAATGAGGAAAGTAAGAGTGTTACCTGAAGGTCCATTGGAGCGTGTTTGGGGAAAAAAAATGGAAGAAGCAGATAATAAGATGACGATGGCTTTTGCGTTTTGCGTTTTGCGTTTTGCGTTTTGCGTTTTGATGAAAGGGTAGGTGGCTGCCACATCACTCAAAAAGGAAGAAGGGAGTAGTTGGGGTTGAACTTTTTTTTGGTGGGTAATGCTTGCAACTTTGTCACGCAATGGTGGGTGGGAGTGGGACAAACAAGGACTATCAATTTTATTCTATCTATTTGTCTAGCTCTAGAAATTATCATAATTAGAAATGTTATTATATATCACTTGTGTACTAACACTTTTCCATTTTAGAAATAACATTTTTTATTTTTATTTTATTTTATGCATTTTTCTTAAAACTTGACATATTTTTATTTATTTCATAAATTACACACATTCCCCATTTTTTATAGGCAAAGATCATGTATTTAAAGTGATAAGGAAATTGTTCCTTCGAACTAAGTTGAATAAACCGGTGGAAAAAAAAAAAGTGTTTAGCCTTGTATTCTCTGGTGATCTTTTACCATGTGTTTGCTACAGAAATGGCACCACACATTCCCCTTGTGAAGTTCATGTGCACCAGAGAAATTGTATTTTATGCTTTTGGTAGGTAGAAATATGTTTGGTTGAAATGATTTTTAGGGTGCGTTTAGATGATTTTTTTTTCTTTAAAAGTTGCTTTTTTTCAAGAAAAAAAACACTTATCGTTTTTAGTTCGTTTGGATGTCTGCTTTTAAAAAAAAAAGGAGAAGTCACAAAAAAGCCAAAAACTTACTTTTCTTCAGAAGCTAAAAATTTTAACTTCTAAGAAAAACAAAAGTCAAAAGTTAAATATTTTTTTCAAAATCTAAATAGCTTTAACTTTTGTAAAATGTACTTTTAAAATAAGGAAGTGATAAAAATTACTTTTTCTAAAAGCTTAAACAAACGACCTCTTAATATGGTTCAGAGCCCGATTCTTATGTAAATGGTGTGTTGAAGAGAGGCAATATAAAATATTGAATATCTATCACTTAACAATTTAAATTTTTGGGTTAAAATAATTTTTTATAAGAACATATTAAAAATAATTTTTTATAAGAATATATTATCCTTCCTAAATATTTGATACCATTGAGTAATGGTTACAGATAGCATATTTAGAATAATGAGAAAAAAATTATTCATTTGTTTATAGACAGCTTAAGTTATTTTATATATTTTCATGTTGCATGGAGAGATTCATTTGAGATATAGACTTCAATGACTCCAGAGAATATTAGAGCACAAGGTCAATGAGAAAGATGACTTCTATGGAGTGTTTGGTAATTGGTAGAAGTTTTTTTTTTTTGAATTTCTGAAAAACTAAAGGTGATAATCTTATTTACCCACATTTTGATATGAGATTTCTAAAAAAAATTCTGAAATTTTATTTTGTGTGTAATTTTTTTTAAAATACTATTCAGAGAGTGATATTTTAAGATTCTCGTGGAAAGAAAAAATTTAATACAACCAAACATAGTATCAAAAAAATTAACTTATCAAACAATTTTTTGGCAATGTTTCTACGAAACTCAATTTTCTACCATATTCCTAAAAATCATAATTTCTGGATAAAAAAAAAATTATCTTCTATCAAATGTGCCACAGGAAAAACGCTACGGAAAAACAAACAAACAAAGATCGCCGGCTTAGGTGGAACATAGGAACCAATCAACTAACTTTCTTGGCTTTTGAACAATCAAACTTGACGAATTTAAAATTTTGGACCAATATAGCAATTCCTTCATATACTTGCTCAAACTTATATTGTGCAGTAAATGTTACATAAAGATACATGAAAAACTTTGACACTAATATTGTGGAGTTTGTTCTCAACTTTGTTTTATTTTTTTATTTTATTTTTCATAATTTCAATTTATTTCTTCTATTAAAAGACTTGATCAGACAGAATCACGAAAATTTACCTGCACCAGCACAGTTTCACAACATTACAAAGTTAAGGCCTTCACTGTTCAGTTACAAGCCCCATACTCCACAAGACATATTTTCAGAACTACCACATAATCTAGAATCAGAACTAGCCTTGCTATCGTACTCTTACAAAAATTTATTCAATAAACCTACTGTTTCAGTGCTTTGCCACCTCAAAGGGACCAGGATCTTGCTTTACCACGAGTGGAAGGAAGCAACCACATAAAGGTCAAATCATAAAGATATGCTTATAATCACAAAGAACAGATTGAAAAATTGGAAGAAGGAATGAGCAACAAAGTTTCGCATTGGTTAGAAATAGATTAAGTGAGGATAATATAAATGGAATGAACCATGAATGTAATGTGTTAAGATTTTGGATTGAGATGCGGTGTTATGGAACACAAATTGCACATTTGTTAGGCAGAAGGGGTAGATTACATGGTCATACGGTTTCTGTTAAAAGGGTGGTCAATGGTCATGGATAGGGGAAAAGTAGAGGCAGGTGCTAGATTGGCCAGAACCAAAATACATTGAGCAGTTGAGAGGATTTTTGGGATTGATTGGCTACTACATAAGATTCATTAAGCAGTATGCATCTATAGCTCTGCTTAGTTAACTGACTTGCAGAAAAAGAATACTTTCACATGGGGTCCTAATGAAATGAAGTACATGCTTTTCAGTAGTTGGAGCAAGGCAATCACAGAGGCTCCTGTGTTAGCTCTTCCAAACTTCTCACAACCATTCCCATTGGAAAAAGATGCTCTTTAGGACTGATGTGGGGGCTGTTTTGAGATAGAATAAACATCCAAGAGCTTATTTCACAAGGAAGACAAATACAGTCAGCATATTCAAGAGAATTACTTAATTAGACACCAGTTTGAAATAAAAGTTGATCAAAAGAACCTCAGGAATTTAATGGATCACTGTAATTTAAACCCTGTAGCAGCAGAGTTGGTTGCAGTGGTTTTTGAGGTATAATTTCATAATTGAATATAAACCGGGGAAGGTAAATCTAGTAGCTGGTGCCCTGTTGAGATCTTTTCACTTGGCATGATCAGAGCGAAAGAGCAGTTTCTTATAGGAATTAAAAAGGCCATCAATGCAGATTCACATAGGAAATAACAACTCTCCCATGTGAGTCAAAGCAACATGCTTATAGCAAGTTATCTGCTACTGATAAGCTTTTACTTTGGAAATGTGGATTAGTAATTCCATAGGGAGGCTCATTCCTTAATCAAATATTGGAAGAGTATCATAGCTCTCCTATGTGTGTTTGCTGGCTTGGAATGAAAAGTGACATTCAGAAATATGTGCAGCAGTGTTCTATCAGTGAACAAGCCAAACACAGTCATACACTCCTGCTGAAATCCTACAACCACTACCTATTCCTCAGCAAATTTGGGAAGATATTCCCATGGACTTCATCATAGGATTGGAACATTGTCATTTGGATACACTGTCATTTCATTAGTGACAGACAGATTGTCAAAGTATCCTTATGGAACCCGCAAAGTTGACTTTACATGGCATCCCTAAATCCATTGTATTGGACAAAGATAAGGTATTTATTAGTGGCTTTTGGCAGCATTTATTCAAGTTGCAAGGCACAACACCTGCCATGACTTCAGCCTATCATCCACAATTAGATGCACAATCTGTGCCACTTAATAATTGCCTTTATTTATTTGAGGTGTTTTACATTCCAGAATGCTAGAGTTGGCCTAAATCTTTGTCCATAGCTGAATATTTGTACAATAAAGCATTTCATGCCAGTTTAGGTATGACTTCTCAGAGACATATATGTATGTATTTATAGAGGAGTTATAACTAACTGCTCGATGAAGATAATTGCCATAAACAAAATAAACTGTCCTAGTCATTATGTCATGCATAAATTACACGTATTTGAATTTTACATAAATAAATTGAATCCATATTCATCCTCTTTACTTTTGATCGCTTTACTTTTTCTTTTTTCATTATATATAATTTAACTAAAATATATTACTGTTACAATAATTCAAGGATATTATAGGAATTTTATTTATTTTATATTTAAAATATAGCTAAGTAGCTTTTCACGTCCTGAAATTTTGTTTGAAACAGAGATATTTTAATTTTTAAAAAACTTAAATGTGAACTTGTCCAGTGTCTGTCTGTATATTTTGAATTGCCATCGAAATTTAGATTTTAATACCAATTGTTGAATGGCTATAGTCCTCCAATACATTAACAATACTGCAAATAGTCAATAAAATATTTACGCAACTTCAATTTCCATTTCCATGGGCAAACGCATTGACTTCTATATTTCTCTTTCCATGCTTTTTCTAGTTTCTAGTTTCAACAGTTTGTTGATGAGATTTGTTTATATATATATAACAAGGGTTTTATGAGTATAACGTTGTAGGATATAAGGAAATTTTCCTACTCTCACACAATAAAGAAGAGAGAGAAAGTGGAATGATGTAAGATAAAAAAAGACATGTGGACTCCACCTTTTAATTGTGTGTGTAAGAAAGTTTTATTGAGTTATGTAACATGATACTAATAAAACCCATATAACAAAGTATCTCAGTATTACCAAATTTTTGTGAGGGAGTATCTCATATAGAGGTTGAGAGAGGAGGCAATGATGTAAGGGCACAAGACTCTCGAATTTAACAGAGTAATCGCTCATAAAATAGTAGATTCAAAATATCTTAATGAAGACAGATATTTGTAGCTGTAAAAATATTCTCTAATAGATCTATAATCGTTTAATGCAGAGAGTGAAGAATCCTGGCAAATTTTTTTTATTATTATTTAAATAAAAAAGTACAAAAATATTGCAGTGCAAAATCAATTTGTCGCACCTCATGTGGTAGACGCGACTCTTGTGCAAAGCCGTGCCTCACACAAGTCACAGGCAGGACTTTGCACTATTCACACGGTAACACGTGGCACAAAAGGTCAATATTTTGACCGTAAAACTTCATAAGGCCGTAACTTTTGATTCAGGTGTCCGAATCAAGT